GCGGGATGTCGCACAGTGGATCGAGTCAATAGGAGAGGTCGGACAAAATTTGGAAACTTTAAACGCTTATAACCGCGTTTATGCAGGGTGTCTATAAGTCCGGAATTTCCGGAAAGTCCGGAAATAGTGCTGATTTTTTAAGGCTGGTCCGGAAGTATCGAAAAAGTTCGGAACTTTGGTCATTTTTGTGCGAGAAATTCACATTTTTCGAATTTCGTCAAATGGCGCTACTGAAAAAGTCAATAAAATTTTAAACTCACTTGTACGTAAAAATATTAAATTGCGGACCCTCCGACTCCAACTCAGCGCAACGCGGAGTTGCGAGCCGGCGAAACGCGTCCGCAATTTAATATTTTTACGTGCAAGTGAGTTTAAAATTTTACTGACCATTTATCTTGTGCGGGTTTCCAAACGAATCTTGACTGAAAAAGTACTGAATTTTTCTGTCGAGGCACTGGATTTCTTGGGAAAGTACTGAGAAAGTTTCATAAAAGAACTGATCTTTGGCCAGCCTGTATTAGTAGACACCCTGTTATACAAAACTTTGAGGTTCTAAAAGTGGTTTCATTGGTCGCTTCGTGAAATTTAAAAGAAGCACGCCTAGAATCCTAGAAGCACCCCTTGAAATTTAAAATATGACGAAATGAACATCAAAATTCTTAGTTTTAGTCAACAATTTCATGTCCGACCTCTCTGATTGACTCGATCCACTGTGCGGTGCGACGTCGGACTTGATCTTGTCACAATGCCACTAAATCACACGTCGAAAACAGGGTGACGATCGCAGCTCGCGAGGATGCTTATTAATTACAGACAACGAGGAACCGGGATGTGAACCGGCCCCGGGGCAAACGAACCTCGCAACCCAGATATACTCTTCCCGGAACGTGCGAGAGAGCTCGAAATGCAGTGAGTGAGTTGTAAAGTGCAATTGGACTGCGAATAGCAGACAGGAACCAAGCCACGTCAGCCATTGCTAAATTTAATTTTTTACATGAAATCGGTTGTGCGGATTTTTGTGCTAATTTCAATGCATTTCCTGCATAGCTCGAAGCAAATTCCTCAATATTTTCAAAGGGCTCCGCACAAAAGTTCTGTTGTAAAAAATAAAATTGCCTAATGAAATTTGACAATAGTTGATACTTTTATTTTTTTAGGAAACCTTTCACTATTTTTTCTTGACATTTTTCAAAACTACAGATTGAATTGCATACGAAATTTTTTGAAAAAATTGGAGAAAAATGTACACAAGTTTCCCTGGGAATTCGCATTTTACGAAAGGAAATTTAGCAACTTCTGAAGGTTTATACGGCGTTTATAGAGATCGGAATCGAAATTTTTAATTAAAACTGCTATTTTCATGTTTATTCTGGTACATTATACATCTTATAGGGTGTTCCCTCAGGAAAATTCTATGAGGAAACTAAAGGAAATGCTTTTAAACTTCTACGTTCCTACGAAGGCATACTTTTTTATTGTTTCAATATCTTGTCCGATCTGTCCCATCAATTTGATCTCCTGTATGTGCGCAACCGCGGGAGTCGCGATGGAGCAGTGTAGAATAACGTATTATAGCTTCCTCGTGTAGCAAAATCGAGGTTTCCGTTTTTAGATTTCTGCAAAACCGTAAAATAGTTCAGAGACTTTTTGCCGCACGCTATCGGAAGTAGGTATAGTTCTTAAACAGTCTTGTAGGTGCTAATGTGCGTCAAATACCGATCAAGCCGGCCGTACTGCATTTGGCGCAATGCGTGAAGTATTCACGCGGTCTTGTAGGCGCTAAGCTGCGGTTCAATACGACTGAGCCCGCCGAGCCGACTGTATTGTGTTTGGCATAATGCGTAAAGTATTCACACGATCTTGCAGGCGCTAATACGCGTTTTACACCGACAGCACTGTGTTTGACGCTATTATTCAAACGGGCGGAGTTGAACAGTTCTCATCTTGCTTGTTTGTTTGCACGAAGTCCCATCACAAGGGAAAAAACCAAACATAAACAAAATAAACAGAACTTGTTACTAGGATGGAGTTTATCATTGTCGCTTAAAACTCGCTACATAAAATCCAACTAATTTTCTTCTCTTGTTTTACATGGGTATCTATAGTTATGAAAAGTGAGCATTAAAATTGTATTGTCTCGCTGGGCGATGCTTAGGTCGTTTTAGTCGATAGCGCAGCCCGAAATATCGAGGAAAGTCTGCTACTAAGCCCGATATGTCGTTGTAAACAATACGTAAATACATTGGTTAAATGGGAGTTCAGCCGGGACCGGTCAAATTGCTTCTTCATGCCCGATAGGTCCTCATATCAGATGTCGTTATATTCGATATCCACTGCACGTCTTCGGATACACACTTAAGACAGCAAAATCACTAATGTTTTGTTCGTTATAAATTCCTTAAGAGTTGTAAATAATACAGTTTAAGTTTTTGTGAAAACTTAACATATCCTAATCTAAACCATGTCTTGGGTCTTATCATGACAGAATATAATAAAAATAGCGCAGAAGAATTATGAAAGGAAGCCCTTAGCCTAGCCCGCAACGAAACGAAATTAAGCCCTCACTCATGGTGAGCGAAGCTTTTACAAGCTTCTCATCCGAGCCGGGGACAATTCATCTGCACCCCCATCGGCCATTATCTACTGGTCTCGTAAAAGTAATCGCCCGTATATTTTTATCGCTCTCCTTTTTAATATGGTTTCCCCCGAAATTATTTTCAAGGGCACGCCGCTCTAATCCGACGAATACACGAAAAAAGCATTTTCTCTCCGCCCGGGCCGCGAGCTTTTTAGTCGGCAGGGATGGCTCGGTAGCGCCAATAAACGGATTTCATCCCCCTCGGAGGCGCCACCCAGTGGCGAGGCGTGAACAATCGATCTTCAATATATTCCCGTTTGAAGCTGTGGTAAAGAATCGATTATTAGCGAACACCCTGTTTATCGATACTTTTCCGCAGGTTTAAATGACAGACAATCGATATATCGTAAAGCACGCCACATCACCGGCGCCACCAGTATCAATAATACCTCGGATTCCACGGCTTTTCCTCGGGCTTGTTGCGGGGTGTGCGTATTTTTCAGAGCTTCCTGCGGCTCTAAGAGTAGAGCCCACAAGTTGTGCTCTCGGAAATTTAGAGCCGTGACAAGTTCTTCAAAAGTCACTGAAAATCTGGAAATTGGAATCTCAATATTACATTAATCATGCTGTGAACCATCAAAATTGAGACAATGCTGTAAAGGTCACGATGATAAGGTTTAAAATTTGTCACAGTGTAAATTTGTTTCAATCATTTGAATACACTTCATCAGTGGCGTGGCGTGCTTTGCGATATATCGATTGATACGCCACTCAAACCTATGAAAAAATATCGATTATCAGGGTGTTCGCAGCGAACACCTTAGTAATCGATTATTTACCGTAGCTTCTAATGGCGAGATATCGATAATCGATCATTCACGCCACGCTACTGCACTTCATATTACTATGAGTAATGTTCGAATAGTTTCCCTGTGTAAATTGATGATTTTATGAGTTCCTTATCAAAAAATGTAGTCCAGTTTAACCACGTTTTGTAATACGGAACCAATATTTTCAACAAATGTTAGAAACAACGTGTGTGCTATTATTTCCTCTATACAGATTAGTGTTTTTTATGGATGAGCCGAAAATTGTAACCCCTTATTGCTTAAGATGAAGTCCAATTCGGCAACGATCCGAGACATACGGTTTTAAGCACTCCATATTACTATGAGTAATGCTCTTCTCTGCCTCTGTCAGTCCATGCGCAAGCATTGATAAGCAAGGGGAAAGAATGAAGAAGGGAGTTATTGTTTCTTGAAACCGACGCTCACACGCACGAGTGGAGGGGTTCAGACGCTACTGCAGTTTATTGACCAATTTTTCAATTCCAATCGACTTATCCCACCTCGTGTAGCGCCAATCGTGATAGAGTTGCGGATGCGGATGAGAGCGTGTGGTGTTAATGTTAAAGCTGGAAATTGCTTGAAAGCATACTTTCAAGTCCTCGAGTATATAATTAGTCTTTCTCGGTTCGTCTTAGAATAATTGGACGTATTTCTATCAAACGGAACTATGTGCATTATGACGTGAACCCTGTTATGAATATTTTCTTATTTGTCTCAGGGTTCATGTCTTAATACACATAGTTCCGTTTGATAGAAATACGTCCAATTAGAGTGAAGAACCTCTTGAACCTCATAACAGAATCAATTCAGGTTCGGGGCCTCCGTAAGGCAGAACGATTGTGAAAACGAACCAATTAACCCCGATAGTGTATATTTGCATCGAATAGTACCCTGTCATGTTTCTCATTGACATCTGAGAGGACTATGGTCGATCTGCCGTGTCATGAATGGAGATGTTGCATGTGTGAGGAATTTGCGATTAGACTATCGATTATTTGGTAAAAGTTCGCGAGAAAGACGATGGTTCCAATGAGTTTCACTGAAATCAACTCCCAAGCTCAAAAGAAGCTTTCAAGTTGAGGCCAAAATGAAGGGGATATCCCACGCTATCCTGAGAGGCCACCTCTACATCAAAACAAACTCTCCATGCAAAGATAGGGAGCAAATACATTGATAGGGCTGCCACCTCATTTGGGGACTCTCAAACTGAAATCACGGCAACCCTGTCAATGTATTCGCTCCCTATCTTTGCGTGGAGAGTTTGTTATGATGTAGAGGTGGACTCTCAGGGTAGGGTGGGATATTCCCTCCATTTTGGCCTCACTTTGAGAGCTTTTTTTGAGCTTGGGAGTTGATTTCAGAGAAAACCAGTGGCACCATCGTGTTTCTCGCGAACTTTTACATAAGAATCAACAGTCAAATCACAAATTCCTCACACATGCAACATCTTCATTGCATCGTACCCGGCCCCTGCCATGTTTTTCATTGATTTTTAAGGTGGCCGTGACCGATCTACCGTGTGATGTATTTGCATAGTTCACTGTTTGAAGGCGTTTTTTGGTTTTGTGTTTCAGGCGGAGTTGGCGCAGCGGGACACGGAGCGGGAACGACGACTGCGCCGCGAGTCCGAGGCCAAACTCCGCTCCACCGTCGCCGAGGCGGAGCGCTATCGAGCCAAGCTCAACAACTTGCAAAAGGAGTTCTCGAGGTACGTTTCTTCGATATTTTCTCTTGAGGTGATTCGTCGTGGTTTCTTACGTCGTTGAACTGGCATGCGATGTATCGCATCAATTATGTCAAACTCTTAGAAGATTTTGAATTTTTAGCCAAAAACAGGGTGTGTAGCATCAGGAAAACCCGGAAAATATCAGGAATTTTGGCCGATCGGGAAAAAATCAGGAAAATATCTGGAAAACCGGAGAATTGGACATTTTATGAGGAATTTTTCTTAAGCAAATCTACTCAGCGGAGAAAGTCTTACTGCGATTTGTCTACCGTGCCAGGAGTCGAGAAAAATCAGAAAAATATCAGGAAATTTCAAAATGAAAAAATCAGGAATTTTTTATAAAATATCAGGAAAAATCAGGAAATTATCAGGATTTTTCAAAATTTAAAAAATACTAGACACCCTGAAAAAAGGACGAAAGCCCTACGCATGAACCTAAAGAATCATTCTTGACCAAAAAATTGGCAAAATTCAGAGAAACGAAAGCAGAACCCTGTTCGGAAAAAAACCTCTCATTCATCACAGAAATCGACAACTGTATCGAATGCGAGGTTTTTTTTTACAAGCAGGATCCTGATTTCATTCAGTCTCGTGCTGGTTTTCATCAGAGCTCAAACTTTTGACTCTAATCGAAATTTTTGAATCTTTTGGCCTTGTTTTCCCCGCAAAATAATGCGAATCCAGCACTATTTTACCAGCTTGTCTACTTCTAAGTTAGTTCAGAAAAAAACCCACCAAGATATGGTGAGATGGTGCTCGGTCCACAACATTTTGCGGGGAAAGCAAAGCCAAAAAGTTCCAAAAATTTCAATTAGTCATTTTTTTGAATTTTTTTTTTAAGTTCAGATTTATTTTGGTTTTGGTCTTTTAGAACCCATCAGGTTCTCTGAAGGGAGCGCATTGTTCGTTAAGACAACGTTCATTAAAAAATATCCAGATTCTTCAAACGGGCGGAAAATGCAGTGGCCTTTCCAAGAATCGAGAATTTATCAGGGTCTTTGACCTTTCATACTTTTCAACCCTTAAAGATTTTCGTGCGCCTTTTCTCTTTAATTCGATGAAAGAAGAATTAAGTAACTTTCGTGGAAGCTGCCGGACGTAGGCTCAGAATTTACAGGGGCCTGGATGATGGATGGGACGGGCCCAAGTAACGGAGAAGATTTGAGCCGAAAAGTTTTCGCAATTGTTCTCAATCGACTAGCCGAGCAATGGGCGTGCACAAGCTCAAGGTAGAGCTGCGCTTGCCAGATTTATGTCAGACTGCCTGTAATCACAGAAAAAACTGGAGAATTGTCTTTCTTAACATTTCTGGGCATAAAGTAGGGGAAATTCAACATGTTGGACGTAAGGGCGTATCTCTATTTCTAGATGAGACCCGAGAAGCATAGACTTATTATACGGAAAATAAGGCTTACGTGGAAATAAGATCAGTTTTAATAGGTATTCCAAATTACCTTCGAAGTGCTGTTCTATTACATGGAAATAAGTATGCTTAATGGTCCGATTTTAGACTTTATAATCCGCCTTATCGTTATCAGCTATCGCTCAGAGAGAACAAGCAAGGAAACTCAGTTTTCCTTCAATTCAGTGATTATGCAATCTGGCCTGCCCAGGAGTTAAAATAGTTGTATCACGTTGTTTGGTATCTCAGCGTATCATCATACTGGCCCAAGCATTTTTCATTTTTCTTATAAAAGTATAAAGTTTTTGAAGGATGTTAGTAGCAGGTTGGGGAAAAAGCAAATCGGTACCAAGTAGGTAATATGTTGGTATCAAAGTGGTATCTTTGAACAAGTTGAGACCATGTTGCAAAACTTCGTAGGAATGCGTTAATGGTCGATTTTCGATATTTCTCCATTTGAAGCACTGATAAAGAATCGATTGCCGAGGTGTTCGTTGCAAACACCATGCTTAATAATCCTTAGTATTTGAAAAAAATGAGATATTAATGATTTCAAGTAAAACTAGTCTTAATGCACATTCTGTGAAAAATTCGCTCCCTAATTCCAATTTTTAAGCATCAAAAAGTCGGTTTAAACTTTCTTTCCGCTGTAAGGATTTATGCAATTTCAAAACTTCAATTATGTATATCTCGAACAAAACTGCAAAAACTGCAATTATGCGCCATGTCCTCCAATCCCCTCGATGGAGAATTGGCAGGTGCCTGAAATTTAATGAATTTCGTGTTTAAGTAAAAACTACTGAGTGAACTGAACACGAGGATACCCTTGCTTCATGAATTGAACAATTATTGGAGAAGATATGACAAAATGATCTAATCTGCTAAAAAATGTGTGTTTAAATGGGAAATACCGCCAGATGACGTCACTAGGCGGTGCATTTTCTCACTTTTAAATCTGTTCTTACAATGGGCCTGTTGCATGCAAGAGATACAGACGTGCGAATAGACTTTTCAGAGGTTAAATGACACGAAAATTACGATGGTCACATTAAAAAAGTCTGAAATACACTCCTTACTGCGCAATTTGCGTTGTTAGGAACGCGCTTTTTCAAATTTCCCGCGTCTGGGGGCAGTTTTCTAACGGAAACAATTAACGGCAACTCGCGGCTCTTTCCGGTCAACTAAAACTAACAACATAACCTAAAAATCGGAGCTCGTGTTATCGTGAAATGAAATGTAGGAGGATTGCGTTGGATATTTAAAAGTTGATCGATTTGGTTAGCGCATAAAGCGTAAATGGACAACTATAAGAGATCACGTTGGGTTTGTAAACAAACTGAAGGAAAAAATCACAACAACAACAACGACTCGGCATCTTCCGGAAATCACCGAGCCCGCCGTTTGCTCGTTTCCGGTGATTAGAAAACTGCCCCTAGACGCGGGAAATTTGAAGAAGCGCGTTCCTAACAACGCAAATTGCGCAGTAAGGAGTGTATTTCAGACTTTTTTAATGTGACCATCGTAATTTTCGTGTCATTTAACCTTTAAAAAGTTTATTCGCGCGGCTGTATCTCTTGCATGCAACAGGCCCATTAGGCTATTTCCCATTTTAGAAAAAAATTATGAAAAAAACTGTGAAATCATCTCGTTGAGCCCTTTCAGATGAAGCAATAAAAAATTGCGTGCAAATTCTCCATTGAACATCGATAGTTTAAAATGACTACGTCAACTAAAAATATGTCTTCCAGTGTCCATACGCTTCCCGTAAAGGTTTTAAAACCCTACCTCGTGTATTCTATGCTCTTAGATTTAGATTCGCCTCCAAAGTAGTGCAAAGTGGCAAACCTGGAGAGGCTAAGGGGGGCGGGCCTAGAACCGTCTGTGCGTTAATGGAACGAGGGCGCTGATAAGAACAGTCGCAATGAGTGGACAGCGGAAGAACTTGTCATGATTACAATTGCAAAACCCTCTCTTCCAACCCAGGGCAGGAGCGCATTATATATCTTTCCCTCTTTGTTCGCACTGTATGGCCCGTCTCTTCGGCTTTGGTTCATTTCATGACGCTAATTTAGTTTCAATCAGATTGTCTTACGCTAGAAAAAGCTTAACAACTGGGAAAAATTAGGGGATTGGCTTTCTTTTTAGCACTGTGTAAAAAACGGGAGCAAGTAGCTGTGAGTTACGAAATTTAAAAACATTTAACTTTTTAAATTTCTATAGATGATTGCGTTTGTAAAGGAGGGGAATCGATATCTGATGACCATTTTTTGGCCATCCCTGAATTTCTTCAACTCAACGATTTTTTGCTCATCGAAGCGATTTTTTGCTCATTGCATATCTTACGAAATGCATCACAAGTAGGTCGTTTTCCGTCTTCTTTTAGGTCTAATACTGGCCGAAACATGGGTTTTAAAGGTAGATTTTGGCGACGAATTCGAATTTTACGGGTTTGTGGTGGAATGTCGAAAAATCCGCATTTTTCGCCAAAATCAGCCTTCAGACCCATTTTCAGGCCAGTATTAGACCTAGCTGAAAAGAGACCGAAAATGAATAAATCATGATGCATCCGTAAGATATAGACCCTCACTGAGCAAAAAGTCGTGGAGTTCGAAATTCGAACTTCAGCTTGGGTGGGCTCAAAAACGGCCCTTGTCTATTCACTATAAGGACCAAGTACTTACAAGCATTGCGATTTTGTCAAGGTTTTGCTCCTTCTACTATTACGATGAAATTATTAAAAGTAAAACAATGCATGAAATTTACATCTGTAATCTCTTCCGTCAGGTAACATTTGGATTGCATTTTGCAAAGAGAAATCAAGAGTATTGCAATTTTGCTAAGATTGTGCAACTTCTTTTGCCATGGAAGAAAAACCTGATCCTCTATAAACAGTTTCTATTTTACCCCCTAAAATATGTAAATTAAAGACAACAATTACCATGTGAATTTCATATTTTTGCATGATTTTAGTACTTTTATTGCAAAGGATGCACGATTTCAGCAACATTGCGATGCTCTTGGTTCCTTTTTGCAAAATGCAATCCATTTTATTTTGGCTTGCAAGCACTCAAGCAAAAATAAATTGTTGACGTTTTCAAGATTTTCCAGCAAGATAAAAGTGTTTGCACAATTTCTAATATTGCAACGCTAGTATTACTTTACCGGGAAATGTGGTCCAAAATATAGAATGCACGATTCACTCCCACGTTTTACAACTCAAGCCACCGGTATGGTATGCTGCCGAGAGGATGTATTCTTTCTGCGTCACTTTAACGTTATGCCGTCGAAACTTTCCAGGTTACCCTAACATGTGCTCCAATTTCTTGTGCGCTCTAACTTTAGTCGTAAATCCTTCGTTTGGCTCTGTTGCAGGATGGAGGATACGGTGCGGTCAATGCTGGAGTACAAGTCTCGCTGCGAGCAATTGAAACAGGCCAAAGCTTCTCTCGTTCTGTCGTATGAAGTAAGTACTAAACTTTCCACCGACTTAATAATTTCTTATTCGCGCCATGATGCTAGCAGGTAAGTGCTCCTTCAATGGTCTGGCGAAGGATCAGTTGTACTTAATGCAAAGTGACAAAATAATAGTCCTCCCATTCCATGTCCGTCAAAAGTTCTGGGACTCAGAACTTTTTTGTTCTAATTCCGCTCTCTCATAAATTTTTAGATTTTCTCAAAAGTTCCGAGTAAGTTCTGGGAAACGCAAAAGATCCGGAACATTTCGGGAATTTCAAAAGTTCCTGGAAAAAGTCGGAAAAATCTCAAATGTTCCGAAATTCGGTACAAATTCCGGGAAATGAGAGCACCGCAAAATAAAGTTTTCAGTATGGTTGAAGCCGACATCGTCATCTTTCGGCCAAAATATCACAAGCTCCATGCGACGTTTCAAAATAAACTAATTCCGCTCACTCCATGAATTTGTAGATTTTCTCAAAAGTTTCGAGTAAGTTCCGGAAAACGCAAAAGATCCGGAAAAAATTCAGAAAAATCTCAAATGTTCCGAAATTCGGTACAAATTCCGGGAAATGAGAGCACTGCAAAATGATGTTTCGAGTACGGTTGAAGCCGACATCGTCACCTCCCGGCCAAAATATCACAAGCGCCATGCGACGTTTCAAAATAAAAATGCTCCTTATTTCGCTCCAATATTTTTAACTGCAAATTTTCTGTAGAGGGAAAACCGCCGAAATTTTTCGACTCGCGGATGTTTGGCAACACCGTCCATCCTATTCCTCTGTTTATTTACTTTGTATCTTTTTTCGTTTTCCTTGCCATCCCTCGAGCTCGCCGCGCCTTTGTTCTGGACCTCTCCGGAGGAGCAAACCACTTACGCGGCGAATTCATTCCAGCGGAGTCGAATTTTGAGTTAAGTGGCAAGTCGGGTCCCGGACGTGATTAAACTATTCAAAGCTGGAAAAATGCCGAAACGGAGCGGATCCGTCGGAAAACGCCTCAGTTTCCACTCTTCATCGAAACTTCGGGAAGGGTCCGAAAGATCCTCTCCTCAGTGGGGGGGGGGGGTGGTTCTCCGCGAACTTTTCCCGACGGTGCGGTATCCCAGCCGGGCGTTTGCTTAATAATTGATTAGTATGCGTTTATTTTCCCTCGCATGTCGTAAGAAGCGGCGATTCCATAACGTCTCCAACCTCGCGCCAAGTCCCTTGATTCCTGACTTATTTTTCTTCGAGCGTATTCCTCTGTTCCCCCACGGCGCACAGTGGATCGAGTCATTAGGGGGAAGTCGGACAAAATTTTGAAACTTTAAAAGCCTNGCCGAAGTATCACAAGCGCCATGCGACGATTCAAAATAAAACTAATTCCGCTCACTCCATGAATTTTTACATTTTCTCAAAAGTTCCGAGTAGGTTCCGGAAAACGCGAAAGATCCGGAATATTTCAAAAGTTCCGGGAAAAATTCAGAAAAATCTCAAACGTTCCGAAATTCGGTACAAATTCCGGGAATTGAGAGCACTGCTAAATAATGTTTCGAGTATGGTTGAAGCCGACATCGTCACCTTCCGGCCAAAATATCACAAGCGCCATGCGACGTTTCCAGTGTGTCGACAAGTCCGAAAATAGCACTGATTTTCTAAGGACGATCCGGAAGTACTGAAAAAGCGCGGAAAATCCGCTAGAAGGTCCGATTTTTTTTTTCATTTTTGTCCTAATTTGAGCGAGAAATTCAAATTTTCGAAATTGTTCGAATTTCGTCAATTGGAGGTACTGAAAAAGTGCTGAATTTTTCTGTTTAGGAGGTACTGAATTTCTTGGGAAAGCACTGTAAAAGTACGGATTTTTGGCGAGCCTGTAATAGGAGACACCTTGCGTTTTGCAAAATAAATTTGCTTTCTGAATTTCGCTCCAATATTTTTAACCGTAAATTTTCCGTAGAGGGAAAACCGCCGAAATTTTTTGACCCGCAGATGTCCCGTTCGGCAACACCGTCCATCCTATTCCACTGTTTATTTACTTTGTATCTTTTTTCGTTTTCCGCGCCATCCCTCGAGCTCCCCGCGCCTTTGTTCTGGACCTCTCCGGAGGAGCAAACCACTTACGCGGCGAATTCATTCCGGCGGAGTCGAATTTTGAGTTAAGTGGCAAGTCGGGTCCCGGACGTGATTAAACTATTCAAAGCTGGAAAAATGCCGAAACGGAGCGGATCCGTCGGAAAACGCCTCAGTTTCCACTCTTCATCGAAACTTCGGGAAGGGTCCGAAAGATCCTCTCCTCAGTGGGGGGGGGGTTTGGTTCTCCGCGAACTTTTCCCGACGGTGCGGTATCCCAGCCGGGCGTTTGCTTAATAATTGATTAGTATGCGTTTATTTTCCCTCGCATGTCGTAAGAAGCGGCGATTCCATAACGTCTCCAACCTCGCGCCAAGTCCCTTGATTCCTGACTTATTTTTCTTCGAGCGTATTCCTCTGTTCCCCCACGGCGCACAGTGGATCGAGTCATTAGGGGGAAGTCGGACAAAATTTTGAAACTTTAAAAGCCTTTAACTTCGTTTATACAAATTTTTGAGACTTTCTATTGGTTCTATTGGTTTTCTCGTAAATTTTCTTCTAGAAGCACCCATTACAATTTAAAATGTGACGAAATAAACATCAAAATTTGCAGTTTTAGTCAAACATTTCATGTCCGACCTCTCTGATTGACTCGATCCACTTTGCGGCGTCACCCTCGCGCGCCCCGCGAAAAAGGATATTGCGTAATTCGAGTAGCCACGTTTTCCCGCCGGCTGTTGCCGTCTTACTCCTCTCTGATTGGTTATTATGTAATATTCTTTGCTTATTTACTGAGAAGTAAATATTCGTAAACATCTTAAGATCCCAAACGTCGCGTATTTCAACGGACTTATGCATCTATACATATTCTTGATTGAGTTAGGGTTTCAGGAAAGTGTGTCCCGAAAATGGTGAAACAAGAAACCTCAAAAAGTATGAGGAACAATTATTGAACGCGCAATTGAATCAGGCAGATTCTAGTGAGCGCCCTTCAATTCCTTGATTTTCCAGCGTTGAATATTACCTCGCCCCCAATTGCGTAATCTCTCTTGTAATAAATTAATTCATCAGCGGTAAAAGACTTGAATCAAACAATAAAAAAAAATTCTCAACTTATCTTTGAAAAATCACAACAAATTTTGAAGTTTTCATTTTGGTTTACCAAGGCAAAGTATATGCGCTGAAAAACTTGCAACGTTGCATATTGAGGTATACACGTTTTTTAATTCTTCATCACGTCGGTGATCAGAAAATGTACAACTGCGCACGCCCTAGGCCCTAGAGTGTGATTCTAATCGCTATGTTGTGCCATCAAATCGAAGTGACACTGCTGAAGGCGCCCTGAGCAACTATTCCACCACAGAAGTGCTGCACAGTATCAAACGTAATTGAAGGCGCACTAACGTATGTGAAACTGGTTTCGTTATTTCGGCCTCGTGAGTCGTCCATTTTGCATACGTCATCAATTGAAGGAGCCGCTAGCCCCGAGTTTAAAGGCACCGTTCGTAACAGAGAAAAGCGCTCAAGCTCTGGGCAGCTGAACAATGGGAAAAACGCGAAGAAAAATCTGGAGTTACTGCCGATCTGTTGAAATTCACAGTTGACTGCCGGGAGGGAGCGACTCGCGTGTGGAAGGCAGAATTTCGTCGTTTCTTGGACGAAAGAACGTAACTCCAATCCAAGGTTGCAAAATTGACCCAAAAAATTCAATGTTTGACGAGAGTATACTTGGGAAATTTTCGTCAAAAATTTGTGTGATTTTAGCACGAGTATAGAAGAAAATTCGGTGAAATTTACAGTGGGAATTGCCGTAAATTCTTCTGGTGAGATGCAAATTACAAGGGGAAATTTGGCAACGTCGAAATGTAGTTACGTTCTTTCGTGAGGGGAACGGCGATTTTTCTTCGCGCCCCGTCCCTGGCGTGGGGCGGAGGGTCCCGTAAATGACTCCCTTCCGATCCCTCGTCGCCCCCCCCTCCCCCCCTTAACCCCACCCCCCGGCTCGGCATCCCTCCGTCTTTAAATGACAGTCACCTTCGCTTCGTTTGCCTCTTATCGTCGTCTTATTGGAAGGTAACAGCGGCGGGGTAACAGCTGCGGCCTCCTCCAGTGCTCGAGAATTGCCAGATTGTGCTGAAAAATAGGCAATTTCCCCCCTTTTAAACCCATGTAAAATATGCGCGTCATATCGCACAATTTGGCAACTTTGTGCTAACCTCTCTTTGCAATTGTAGTTTCTTTGGTGATAATTCTGCTTTTCTTTTTCTTTGACTGCCGTAGGTGAAAGAATCCTAGAATTCAGGTACTGTTGAGCGTTCGTGAGGTGATTCAAGTACGAATTGAACCGATTATTTTCCAAATCACGCCAAAATTTCGAACGCGAGAGAAACAAGAAAAACCGTTTTATTCGCTTTGTTCCTTGGTAAAATTTGGCAATAGCAGCAGCGTTTCAAAATACCATAGGAATTCTAATAGCCGGCTATAGAAGGCTATAGAAAATAATATAGCTGGCTATAGAAAGTGAAGAAAATCATAGAGTCGGGCTAAACAAAGCGATACAAAAGTATGCAGCCCAGGCTGTACTGCCGTGCTAAGGAAAAACGCCGTATGAACATTCGAGAGTTTCCAAATTTCCCTTGACAAAATATGTATTATTGACAACATTAGTGCATATTTTGCCTTTTAATTTTCAGATATTTTAGATTGAATTGCTTACAAAATTGCTTGAAAATTTTGGGAAGTAATACTCACAATTTTTCCAGTAAAGTCGGTTTTTATCAGAGGAATCTTGGTGTCGTCCAGAATAAAAACGCCGTAATTTCATTTGACATTCTTTCGTTTTTTTACTGATAAAATATTATTATCTTACAAGAAAACCAGCAAATGTTCATTCATCATTTTTTCGAGTCGATTTTGACATACCATTAGGGGCTCAAAATTTAAAAAAAGAAACCTTGTCACACTTGGATTTCCTTGTGTGTGAGTGTGGAAGAAAAATACAAAATTTTTAATAGAATTACGGCGTTTTTGCGGTGGACGGCAGAATGGAGGTACAGCTTTTTTCCTTGGCAGAATAAACTTTTGATTTGATTCAAAGTCCAATTTGAGGCTGCTCCACGAAAATGACCCTTCGTGCAAAAAGGGAGGTCACTCCCTCGAAACCACCGCACGATTATAGGCGAAGCCGTGTGCGTATCTACGCGTAACAACGGCATTTTTTGCTCCCGACTCAATATTAATCAATTTGACAAGGGGCCGAGAGAGGGGCTTTTCCCGGGCCGCACAGTGGGTCGAGTCAGAGGTCGGACATGATAATTTTGACTAAAACTGCAAATTTTAATCTTTATTTTATCACATTTTAAATTTCAAGGGGTGCTTTTAGAAGAAAATTATAGGAGGAAACCAATGGAACCACTGTTACAGGGTGTCTAGCATCAGGATTTTCCTGATTTCCCCGATTCTATCAGGATTTGAGGTCAATCAAGAATTAATCCCGATTTCACCAGAATTTGATGAAAAATCGGTCGTGAAATCAGGATTTGAGGTCGATCAGGATTTAATCCCGATCTCACCAGAATTTGAGAAAAAATCGGTCGTAAAATCAAGATTTAAGAAAAGTCGGCCTTTCGACGGGATTTTTTATCGAGCTATTTTTATGAAGTTTTATAAGTTTTTCTCCGCCAAAAGTCAGGATTTGGGACTATTATGGAATCAGGATTTAGCAGTCAAAAATAAGGAAAAATCAGGATTTCCCAAAGTGGAAAAAAAACGTAGACACCCTATTTTGGAACCTCAAAATTTTGTATACTTGAAAAAAAACACATTGGACCTAGAGTCCAGACTCTTAAAAACATCGACAAGAAAAAGTACTCTTGATTCAATCAGAATCTAGCTTAAATCAAGAACCAAGTCTCTTAATTTAAGCGGATTTCGTTTTGATTCAAGCAAAAATCCGATTGAATCAAGAGTATTTTTTCTTGTCAATGTTTTCAAGAGTTTGGACTCTATATCCAATGTGTTTTTTCCAGTGCACCCTGTTTTGGAACCTTAAAATTTTGTATAAACGGAGTTATGAGCATTTAAACTTACCAAATTTTGTCCGGCCTCTCCTATTGACTACATGCACTGTGGGGCGCCGTTACTTCGTCGGCGATCGCGTGCTCTGTAGGCCGAGCTCAGGAGCGAGGTGTCAACACTCACGCTGGCAGGGACCCGGGGAGGTACAACCCCGAAACACTGTTTACATTTTCCAGCCGCGAGTAAATAGGGAATTTCGCCATTCCGATGAGCTCCCCACATCCGCATCCGCCCCCGCCCCCGCGCGGGGAATCCGGGGAACTTTCGCCACGGGAACAAGGGAATTGCCCAGCTTTGAGCTTTGCGGTGCGGCGGAGGGTGCGACCCTCGTAAGCTCCAGTCTTTGCCTATCATTATTTTCTTCTTGACTCGCGCCGAGCGGAGGGGACGTCCGACAGCATGCAAGGTGGCGTTGCCGAATTAGACAGGGTTGCCGCAGTCAGGGAATGCCGGGAAAACCGGGAAATAGTTGGGGATTATAAAAAGTCAGGGAAGAATCGTCAAGTCACCTTTATTTGCTTTCTCGAGTCGGTTTGACGTTTCGAACAATACACTGAAAAAAAATTCTCGGCGTTTTTACCAAGGTCCATTGGTACCTTTACCATCTCACTTTTTTTTACCAATTATTGGTACTTTACCAAGACAGACTGGTAAGCTTACCTAAAAACCGGTATTTTTACTGTTTTTTTCAGGTAAGAATACCACTTTTATTGGTAATCAATTCCCGGTAACTTTGCCATTTTATCTCGGTAATGCTACCACAGTCGATAAAAAATATTGGCGTTTTTACCAAGGTCCAGTAAAATTACCGAGAAAGTTCAATAATTTTATCGAGATTTCTCGGTAAAATTACCAATTCCATAAATGGTAATTTTACCAAGAAAAAACTGGGATCAAATAGAACCCCGAGTTCTTAGTAATTTTACCCTTTTCTTAGTAAATACACCGAGATTTTTTTTTCAGTGTAACCCTGTCTTTTTAACAATCTGGCATTTGTTCAGTAGTCAACAAATTTCACCCAAATATGTCAGGGAAATCAGGGAAATTATCAGGGAAAACCTGGAAACGTTAGGGAAAATGACAAAAGTGTCAGGGAAAAAGCGTCAAGTCACCTTTATTTGCTTTCTCGAGTGGGTTTGACGTTCCGAAGAATAAATTTTGCTTGAAAACTATTTCTAGCCATGTCTTTTTAACAATCTAGCATTTGTTCAATTGTCAGGGAATTTCACCAAAATATGCCAGGGAAATGTCAGTGAATTTTATTTTCCAAATTCTGTGGCAACTTCTGATTTGACAGTTGTGCATCGGATATCAGGGGGACTCGTGTTTCGTTGTTACTTGGGGCATCCACGAATTAATCCGCCCAGAGAGCGAAATTGCTACCTGGCTAATCGACAAAATTGTGATATCGAGGCGACTCTAAATTTTGGACACATTTTGCCAAGTTACTAATTTCATTCTAAACTTTAGACAAAAATGTATCAATTACCCCTAGAGGACGTTCTTAAAAAAGTTGAAAGTGCCATAAAATCGAAAATTGAGTCATGGGCATTTTGTTAACGCTTTTACATAGATGCATCTCGTGGCAAAACGATGCGCAGAAAAACCGATTTTCTCACAATGAACTCCAAGTATCAGATTTTTTCAGTTTGTCAATTTTATTCGTCTTCATTCTTATGTACGACAGCTTTCCCTATTCTAGCGTTTCATAAAAATAAGAATTTGAAACTTTGCAGGGGGATATCTCTTGAGTTCTCAAGAAAACTGGTAAGAAGACTAGTAGAAAACTAGTTTAGTTTGTTGTAAATTAATTTATGATTGATTTTTTATTTATTTTCTTATTTTTCAGAATCAAATTCAGCAGTTTCAAGCTGCTCTGGCCAAACTCAGCTCGGAGAATGATCGCCTGAAACGACAGCTCAGAAATTTAGAAGCAACAGTAAGTAAAAAGCTTACAATTTGCTTCTTCTCTTTGTTATCATATTACTGCCCCAGCCCTGCATAAGGCTTTAAAAATGAAAGCCCAAATAATTCAGTCGTGAATTCTCCCAATAATGCAATTAAGCAAAGGCAAAAGGAAGTTTAAGTACCTCCTACTGTTATTCTCATTCAAGTTTTTAAAACGGATCTAAAGTTACTCATTTTACTAAAACTATGAAGTTTATGACTATAATTACAATTATAATAGTAATAAAAACACCAGAAAGATCAATTTTTATTTATTCATTACAATTCTAATATTTAATTTAAATTCATAAAAGCAAGGGATAAGAAAAATGAGGCAGGTATTTTTTTTATGAGAAGATGAATTATTATTCCGAACTTTTAACTTATCAATTTGATGAGTTCACTTTTTTTTAGTTTTTTTTGCATGTCCATCAACTTGTTTATATTTTCTGCTTTGTAGAATAATGAAGAAGTACAGCGAACATTACTTGAGAGGCTACATACTCTGGAAAGGAAAAATCTGGATTTGATGGAGGAGGCAGAAAGACAGAGGAAACAATATGAGCATTACCTTGATGACATTGCCAGTCAAGTAGTCAGAGCGCTTCTTGCTCAGAAAGTAAGAAAAATTAATTTTTTTTATTTGTGTGTTAACTACTTATCTTTCAGGTCTAACTTATCTTTGTGACGAGCCTTGTTTTTAGTAATTTGAACAATTTTGATGACAGATCAATAGAGCAATTATAATATTTTAAAGGCTCAAGTCAAAAATACGCAAGTGAATTTTCAGAGACACGTTAGTTAGCTTTTCTCAATGAAAATATAACATGATCCGAGATTTTTACTTGTAATTTTTCACGCATGCAAAAGTTAAGTTTGCGTTAAATGTTGCAATAAAGGTACAAGGACAAACTTTTTTTGCTTATCAAAATATTTTTCACCCTTCTAATCAAGATTCCGTCATTTCATCTCATTTTCTTGCCTTTTCCAGAGTTTGCAGGAAGAAATTGAAACCTTACACGCTCGGTCAAAGGATCTAGAGAGTCAAAATCAAACTCTGACTTCTCTACTTCTTCGACAAATGGGGCATCCAGCAACCAGGAGGAATGCTAAGTCATTAGCAAATTCAACAACTAATTTTGTAAGTTTTCTTCCTCTCTTGCCCACCTTTTTTCTCTGACATGTGACATTTAGTGTCAAAGACACTTTGGTGCTCATCTCCAACTGCTTTAAGTCCTCCTCAAATTTTACTATGCTCAGTAAAACTTTTTTTCTAATTTTTTTCTTCAACATTTGATTTTTTTTATCCAAAAATACCTTGTCAATGACTTTTATATCCTGTATGTACTCACTAGTGTCAATGGCAAGTTGAAAACTTCAAACGGTTCAGGAAAATTTTCCCAAAATCCTTCTACCAGTTTTCTTTTCTGTCATTTTATGCAAAATAAATCATGCTAAAATTATGACAAGGTGAATTTTATTAATGCTCTTTAATGTTTGTCGTCTATGATCATAATGAATTTTAACTTGCAATTGAGTTTTGTTACCTAAATTCATATAAGTGTGTAGTCAAATGGTCAACATTGAGTTAACACTGTTTTATTTTCATCTGTCAGGTATCTCTGCCAAGCCTAGAAACCAGCAAAAGGCCTCATAGCTTGGATGAATCACAACTAAAAGAGTTGGAGGAAGCTTTATGGTCACCTATCCACCGACCACATTCTTTGAGCTTAAATATCACTACGCCTAACCTTAGTAAGTTTTTCTAATTTTTTCAAGATTTACTTGTTTTCTTAACACATTGAATAAATATGATTTTCTTCACTGGCACTACGACAGGAGGTTAGAGTGGTTCTTATTTTTTAAAGTTGATGTAAGTCCAGGTCTCCTCCGCTCAAAATAGGCTTCAATCAAGCCAATGTAATGTGGCCAAATCAAGAATTTTGTAGAGGTCTCTTGAGCGCTCTAAAGGGCACACACTTAAAAATTGGTATTTTGGCAAGTGTGCCATCGTTTCACAATGGAAATCATCTAATTGTAGTCCTCATTAAAAGTGGTCCCCATAGAGTTGTGACTTGACTTTCAAGCCATGTTGCACCTTCTCCTTTTATAGTGATGAGGCTCTAATTGACTGATAAAGTTTTCTATTTTTTTGGTGCAAACAGTTTTAGCCCCTGTAAGAAATAACGTGGGGTTTTAACGAGATAACTTGTAGACTAAGAAAAATGTATACATTACAAACTTCAAAAATTTATTTTTAGTGATTTTTTGAAGAAATAATCGGTAGTAAGTCTCATTTTTTATGAATAACAAGTAAAAATTCTTATTTGAAATACTTGAAATAGTAGACAGTGGCCGGAAATGACTCAAGGCGAGGAAGGGTAGCGAATGGTACCAAATTGGTATCGATGAAGGCCTCAGGGTGCACTTAAGGCCACAACTATCATGACGATTCATTTTGAATTTTAAAAACTCCTCAGTTTGCTAATCTTGCTTTTTAAAAATGGTTTGGAAAAAGAAGAATTCCCAAGCCTAATTTTTCACTTTCTCTCAAGATTCAAAATGTATCCTGGTATCCAATCTAAAATTCCATCAATGTATTCTTAATTTCAGATCATGAAAGTAAGAAAGATATAGAAAGTCCTGAAAGTGGCAATCGTGATGAAGGGTACTCGACAATGTCTAGTGATATGCAGGGAATTGTAGAATTGCCAAAGAAAGGACTGGAGGAGGTGAAAGAGGCTTCTGATGAAACAGAAATCATCGATTCTACGTTTGCTGACAAAAGGTATGAACTGTGTAAAACTGTGTAGCCTTTTGCATTTAGTATCTATTGACCTCATTCAAATCCCAACTATCAATATCTCGATTTATCTTACAATTACCATCATAATTGAAGAGTTTTCCTGTAGAAGGGCGTCTTTGGAAAATATCTGTTCCCAGCAAAACGGATTTGAAGCTTCGAGAAAGTGGCTTTACTCATGTTGGCCTCTGATTATGCATTTATGAGCTTCAAGTCATCAGAAAAACATGATGATATGTATTTAAAGATGCGCAAATACTGTATAATTGATTTTCGAAACTAAGACCAATTTTAAAGTATGCCCTTTGGCAGGTAAACTTCCTCCATCATACCTCTCAATATTATTGTCGGTCCATATTGTTAATTCTGAATGTATTTGATCGGAAACTATCAGACATTCTAGGTGATGATTGGTTAAAACTTTACAAAATGAGAAGTCTTGATGCATCATACTTGCATTTACCGTCAGTAAGACAGCTCAGGACTTGATCGACATTGTTATGATCTAAGTAGCCTTTTACAAATATTTAAGTTAAAATGTGGTCAATTTTCTTCATTATATTTCTCTTTATTTTTCAGGCCTTTGGATTTCAAAAAACCTGACATCTTATTCATCCCGTTAAGTTTGTCTCTGAATATCAACTCTCGGCATAGTTATCCCCCAATGAAGGATTTCCTCCCTTACCATCACATCATGCGCAGTTTCTCCGATTCGCATCTCTGCCTCAAATTCACAACTTCTCCTTCAGCTCCGATGGTGATATCATTTGACACTGTTTGGGGCAACAATAAAAGGTCTAACTTATCAGTTGATGATACGATTTCCTGTGATAGTTTTAATGATTGGTGGGATACTGACTATATCCAACAGTGGCTAAGGATAGACGACACAAGGAGCGCGCTCCAGCAACGGCTCTCCTACAATCCGAACGATATTGAAGACTGGTCAATGGAGCAAGATGAGACTGATTTCCGCAAGAAGAACCAATCTGCACCAAATAATTTAATGCTCAGTTTACCAAGTATCCAAGAAAGTTCTGATTATCTCGAGTTTATGATTGACGAGGATGGTGAGGAAGAAGATCATCTATGGACTGCCGAAAATAAATATTTCAACGAAAGTGATGCTAAATCTTACTGGCCGAATTTTTCTTGTTCAGCCATTTCGCCTGTCACAAATTCATGGTCCAGCAATGGTAAGTGTTTCTCTTGTCTACAGTTTGGTATTCTAACCTTGAATAAAAATGTAACAAAATTTTAACTCATTTCCTGTCGTATTAGTGAGTGCAATGACCAAATGGGAAAGCAGAGCAACCATGTGTTTGCCTGCTGTGATACAGTTATGGAGACAGTCAACAATGCATGGCCCAAGACCAATACAATATGAAATAAAAAACATTAGTTACCGTTTTGACAAAAAACTTTTCTCACATTGAACGTAAATTGTAACCAGAAAAAATTACAGATTCAACAGCAGATCAGATATCTTGTCTGCTGAATGAGTTGAACAACATAATTGGAGATAAGAATTCCACAAAAATCTCACGAGGATGCGGGAAATTTGAATGTTAAAATGTCTTTTTTAACCTTTTTCAGCTACTCTGAACTAACTGAAGTTTTTATTTTTTCTGTTCCCAGATACCAATTCAGATGAATGTGGGCAGATGTATAATGACTTTGAAAGCAATGAAGGCCTCTCCAAAAGATCTTCAGCCGTTTTGAGTACCGATAGTGGAGATTCCTCCGTCATTGGAACTGACTTTACCAGAGATTTCTATAGGCTAGTCAAGTTTGAAAGCACGAAGAGTCTCACCTCTTTATCATCAAAAAGTCAAACAAACGAATCGCAGAAAAGTGCTGAAAGAAACATCTCGCTCCCACTGACGCTCGATGAAGAACAAATTTTGAAATCTGCATTCAGTGTCATGGTAGAACAACAACAACCTAACCATCAAGACCCTAGGTTCAAAGAGACTGTTTTAAAAAGTGACTTTTCTACTTTCAAAGATAAAGCGAGTCCTGTTGCATCCTTCTCCAACATTGAAATGCCACGAAGTTCCAACACGCCTCAGCTCTTTGAGCCTCAAATTGCAGGCAAGAGGACTGAGCCTATTTTATCTACTGATGCTGGATTAGACGCCCTGAACAGTATTAGACATGATGATAGCAATAACTTTATTTCTAGTGGTCCAAGTACAGCCTGCTCTGGAAGGCTCAATTCATTTCAGTCTTTTAGCTTGCCAAAAAATTCATTTTGTCGGAGGAGTCCCATGTTTAGCAAAAGGAAACGTCCTGTGAGCGTTGAAGTTTTAATGAATGATAGCCTTTTACCAAATAATAGTAATAGTGTAGGAGATAAAGACCTTAAAGCAGATCATAGTGATTCGAAAAATAATCCCAAAGTTCCCAAAGAATTAGAGTTTAGTTTAGATTTAAAAGTTCTCCCAAGAACCAACAGTGATAATTTTAGTGATAGCAGTTCTGACAACGGCAAGGTAGGAATTGAATTCGACGACGAAGAAATTGACTGCCTCTCAGAAGATAGTTTATCTTCATTCTGCCTGTCTGACATATCTTTAAGACATTTACGAAGTGATCTGACTTCGAGGTCCAGTCTGAATACGGTGCCTGAAGAGGAGGAAACTGAAGTCGCTTCCTGTGATACAGCAACTTCACTTTCATCGCCAGGAACAGTAATTTTATCGGAGAACAGGGCAGACACCGATACTTCTCTCTGTGACCAAAGTAGGAACAAGATGGTCAATTTTCACCCATGCTCAAACTCGGAGAGACCGTATGCCAATGCTTCAACCGTACCTGAGCCCATTGTTGTCAAAAATGGCCAACGATACAGTTTCAACGAGAGCGCTTCCTCAAAAGATGTGATTGATGAGCTGAATAGAATGATCCGCAAAGGAGAGGAGCTGAGTGATGCAGAATCAGGAAAAGGCGAGGAACGGAAATCCGCATCGTTGGATGATGCTTGTTGTTGTCCCACTGGCTGGGTTCATGTTGAAAGAGATATTGATTTCACTGACCCCAAGGTAATTTCTTTCATTTTGCTGAAATTTTATTCCTTTTGATGGGAAGTAAATTTGTATTTTTTACTTCTTTTTTTTTTTTTTACCTAGGAAGAGGGAGTTCTTCCAGTGTAAGCAATACTGATCGGCCACTGGGCGAAGTTATTCACTTAGAGTTGAAAGTATCTGATGAATGAAGGTAGTAAGGGATATTTTTTAAAATAGATGGAAGTGGTGGTGATTTTGAAGAAAGCTTGTAAATTTCTTACAAGGTACAAGACGCATTTTAATTTTTTGAAGTCAACATTGTTTTTTCTAGGAATCACAAAAATGTTTAGTACCTCCATCTGTCGTTATTTATTTTTTTTTTTTAATAAGGGGCTTTTGTAATCTCTTATATGTTTCAGTAATCCCAAGTCTGGAAGAAGCTTTAGTTTCCCTCTTCCAAATTGACTACGGTGTGTTCTTTCACAACCAGAAGTCAGTAGTTTGAGAAAAACTTTTCGAATGCCAAGCATAACTTATTCCAAGTTTTCTGTGCTTTATTTTACATTGATTCATTATTACTTTCATGTAATGAACTTTATAATCTCTGCAACTTTTTAATGCAAATTACTTCTGATCCTACTCCTGCCTCTAGAATAATTTTCGAGGGTTTGACCCTTCAACTGTTTTTTTCCTATAATCGTGAAATATTTACAATTTTGATTTGATTATGCAGATGTGTGAATTTTGTTTCCAGGCAAGGGCTAATTTATTGGACGTCATGTTGGCATCTAGACACAGTTCATCAAGTGCAGAAGATTTAAGTAGTTGTGAAAGTGAAGAAGAACGATCCGAATATCATCACTTGCATAGGATACATCGATCTCGCTGTCAGAGAAAAGGTTGGAAGCACATGTTCTCTTGTTAACCTTTTGTTTTCATTTTTAAGATAATAGTTTCTAGTTCTACTGCTTATTTTCTGTATTGGTCCTACATTCTTTGATTTTAAAAATTATTCTGAAATTATCTATCTTTCCATGGAGAATACTCAACGTTGAGTCAGTTCCTTAGATCACATCGAACGTAGCTTTAAAAATATCCTTATTCGTCCACCATCTACGAAAAATATGAAACAGTGCATATTCAATATTCATTCGCAGATTTTGTGTCACATTTCACTGTCATTATTTCTCAAAATTTTGATTCTTCTTGACCTCCGTAATCTTTGAATTTGTCCAGTAATGTTATTTTATAAAACAAATTATGTGGAAGGAAAAATTTTGAAACTTAGCAGTTTTATAAATATTTTGTTCATTAACATCATATTGCGATAAATTTAAGACAAAGTATTCCCTAATTATTATTTCAAATGTGTTTCAGTTGCAATAAGAGAGCCATTAAAATCATCCACAAGGGAGCCTTTGTGTGGTGTTCTACGGCAGTCAATGTCTGTGCGACCTTCAATCGTGGGGAGAGATGACTTTTTCGTTCGTTATGGAGAGAAAGAAAAGGATGCTTTATCGTTTTTTGACTTTCTAGAAACCATGTCAACCACTTCAATCAGTGCTGCATCTTCGTGTGAAAGTAGCTCCGGACTTGGCCGCAAAGGAGGATCAAAATTTTTGCAGAACGAACAGTTAAATCAACCCCATGTAAACAAGCCTCATCTCAGCGGCTCATGTGCAACAAGCTACTCAGACTCCGAGTGAATTGTCCCATTGATCTTATTTTTAAGTCATTCACACTTATAAATAAGCAAGTTTAGTGTACAAGCTCTAATGATGTTTTAAATTATACATAAAGTATTGAAAAAAGTACTTTACCATAACAGGTTTTAAAAAGATAATTCTATCAATCTAAGAACTACTCATTCACCGGTTCAGTTTTTTTAGTGTAAAAATTTTAAAACATTCTATTATTCCTATCGTATCTGAATTAGAGTTTCTAGTCCTATCTCAAAAATCACTATGTAAGCACTGATGTGTAGAGTAGTGGATATCAGTCCTCAAATTCTCTGCTTATAGTAGCACATTATCCCAGTGTGACTATATATATGTACATAAAGCCAACATATGTACAGACTTGCAAAATTCCATAAATTGGTGATTTTTAACCACTGTCGGTACAGAAGAATTACTGTCCAAGATCTGGCAGTTTAGAATCATTGTGTGTTTATTCCTGTGGTTTATTGGTCATGATTTTTTTCAACCACTAGGCCTCTAGTCATAGGAAATCAGTCTGAAAATTTATCTCCGGTGTACAAATGTCGTCAGTTATTTATGTATTTTTAAATATTCAAAAGTGTGATATTTTTGTATAAGTATTTCATGTTTTATAACGTAAAAGTTCTAAGCTTTTTGGCACATCCATTCTTGTTCAGATAAGAAATACGGGAAGGAAAGTAAGACTGGGATTTTAGGTTTTCAAACCATGTTCGATGCTCGGCTCTTGTTTTTATATCCTTAATTTTTCCTCGCTTAAATTCAAGTAAATGGACACTAAAAATCTTGTCTTAGTAGTTTCTTACTACTTAACTACTCGGAATTTTTCAATGCTTGCCTCCAGTTAAATAACTGATGCTATCTTTAAGTAAATATTGCAACTGATGAATGATAGTCCTACTAAAATTAAGGCTGGTATATTATTAATGAGAAGAAAATATCTGGACCCAACAACGGCAGGAGAGGAAACGATGTACTCAAGTTTTTCTGCATTTGTTTCCATTGTAGCAAGTAAATAATAATTTTCCAGCGTTCCTCCATACGCCTGCATTTTTAATGCTCTGTGGATTCGTGCTCTAAACAACGTGCCTAAAGTCATGGCTACTGAAATTTTTCTCCAAAATTGGCTGTTATCTTGTCGGGAAGTTGTTGCATCAACTCGTCTCTCTCTAAATCAAGTTGTACAGTATTCATTATTTTTTTAAAATTATTTTCACACTTATCTTTACAATTGGTGATTACACCTACTATTAATATTTTTCTGTGAAATATTAAATTATTTTTTAATCTATCTGCATGCCAACTCACTAAAACATGTGAGGCTCTGCGAAGAGAATTTGTCAAAATTGAAATTTTGACTAGATGTGTTATTGAAGATAGTTTTACAAATACTGCGGCAAAATAGAGATGTTGCTCAAACATTTTACTGCACAGAGCAATAAAAATCTATTTCATGTTTGCCTACTTTTAAACAAGCAATTTGTTATTCTAAAGAGATTGCATCCATGATTGGTGTAGAAAGAACGTTTGAACTAATCTTCATATTCTGTCTTCACTTACGTAATGAACAACCTCAAATGAAGCTGATCTCTTGTTCATCCCTCTAGATGTATCCATAACTTCCCCTCCCTTCATAAAGTCCTTTGGTGCTGTACTAGTGTTTACTTATAGTTTCGTTGCGTAGTTCCTTCCCCTGTTCTGCTTTTTGGGCTTGAGTTGCTTGTTCATGATTATTTTCTAGCAATTATTTTCATTAAAAATGGGTCAGTGTCATACACCACAGAATCAAATTCTGGTCTTAGGTATTTCTTGGCATGTAAAAAATAATGAAAATCTTTCAAATTTCTAATTTCTACCATGTAAATTCTGAAATTATTTCCCAGGTATTGTAAAGTATGATTATTGACAGCAGCCACTGTGTCACTTAGTTCCGTAGTTTCTTCCTATCAGGTTTTATTAAGTAACATACTGAGTAACTGAACTTAGTAGTTACCTGAGTAGTAGTTAACATCAAACAGGCTTAGTATTACTTTCCAGGTCTATCATGCTGAAGAAAAATGTCGTGTATGCATTTGAGTGCTGCCAATTTTTTCCTATAAAATATGTATTTTTAAGAAAAGCTACGAATTTTTTAATCTCGAAATTTTCAGATATACTTGATTAAATGATGATTAAAAGTGTTTGTAAAATTCAAAGAGGAATACTCAGAAGTTTCTCAAAATATCTGCATTTCAACAAAATTAAATTCTGGAACACCGCAATGTTCATGCATCGCTTTTCTCTAGTTTGGCGTATACGAGGCGTCTAGTTTTTAAACCTGCAAACCCTGTTGCTGTGTCTAAACATTGTGCAATCATATTAATTTTGTGTAAGGGACAACCATAATGTATAATTGCTCAAAATGTTTTTTAAATTCAAGTTTCGTGCTTAAATACAGAAGTTTCAAGAGAAGACATGAACATGGGGGCTTTTTTCTTATTTCAATATGAAAGTGTTATGATCACAAATTTTTTAGACAGGGCAATAGAGATCGCTGATTTTGCAACTAGACGCCTAATATTTTATCATGGGAAAAATGTTATTCATACTAGATAGAAATTCGGTGTTCAGATCAATGCCTTCAATTTTTGCCGATCTACAAGGATTGAAAACTTTATTTTGTGCAGTATGAAACTGACCCATTGCCTCAATGTCTTTCTACTTTTATTTAGATAAATTCCTTTGTTGACTGTTTTGTTTCTCATAATTTGTTCACGCATGAAATTTCTTGTTTCTGTTCTTGTTCTTCATTTTACCCATCATTTTTATTTTGTCTTGCCTAGACACTAATCAAGCAATATTGTACGATTCAGCCGCCACCTCTACATTGTAGATGTGTCTTGTGTCAGTTTGTTCTCCGGAATATTTTTTATGTACATAACTTTATAAATAATCGTAAGATATTCGCACTGAGAGTTATTAAGAGTTTCCTAGTCTGTGAATCATGGTAGGATTACTTTTAATTATTTCAATCTCACTATGTTGTACCCAAGTATTATTTAAAATACCTCAATATTTAGCAATCGTCATCTCTATCACCGCTTCAAGTATGTGATGAAAATTTAAAAACAAAAAAAAAATTATTTCAAGGTTAAAATTTCCCTTCCTAGAAGCAGATAAACCTTTGAGAAATTTCATAAACACCATTAATTGTTAGGTACTTGTATTTTAAATTTCATGAGGCTACGGCTCTTTTTGATTTGGTTGCCACTCAGATAGATCTAACTGTGCGGTTGATTTTTGACAAACACTCATTTGAGTACTTCTTTCTTCTCTCTCTGTCTCTCTCTCTTTTTTCTCTTTTCTTTGTTTCCTTTTTTCTGTAGCATTTCTTTCGCAACTTTTTCTGTATCTGAAGGTACGATGAGAGTCCTTCCTTAGGGAGCTAAGAAACCCATATTTTTGAAGTTTGCTTTCAAATGTTTCTCTGTTCCATCACAGAAGTTGTAAAATAAATATGTTTTCAAATTAAAGCACACTCTGTTCTGATACTTTTTTATTCTAAGATCAACGCAAAACCAATGTCAGATCAAGGAATTGTAAAAAACTTACTTACCGTCAAATATCTAAACAGATTGAAAATAGGTATTTGTGTTTTTATATATTGTTAGACGTTTTGTTCTGTAGAGCTACCTCAATAACTAAGAATATTAAATTAAATTTTTCTACAAAAGATAATCAGTGAATTCTTCTCCCTCTTATCCATATTTAACCCTCAAAAATAATGGAAGTACGTAAAGAACCGCTTCCTATGAGCCATTCTTTGGCAAGAATTAAAATAAACTTTGATCGCCACTAAAAAGCTCAGAAAAAAATATGACGTGATGGTGAAACTGAAGAAAGGAACATCTGGACTTACAATGTTCCAAATACTGTCCTATCTCATCTTTTCAATGAAAAAAACAAAAAACAAAAGAAACCATTAATTTCATTTCTTGAAGACCTCTGCGATTTCTTTTCTCTGTGTGAAGAATCAGTGGTGTTGATAAAATAACGTGCACCTCCAATGCAATATTTTCAAATCTCAAATAAGTTTCACTTTTCTGAGAGAAAATTAACTAAAATATTTCTTTGAAAGCTACAAGCAAACAAGCAAGATGAGAAATCCCCAACTCCGCCCGTTTGAATTACACTGGCATGAAACGGATATTAGTGTAGCCTACAAGACCATGTGAATACTTCACGCATTACGCCAAACCCAGTACAGCGCCTACAAGACTGTAGGAATACTTCACGCATTGCGTAAAATACAGTGCGGTCGGTGTGAAACGCATGTAAGCACCTACAAGACAGTATGCGTACTTTACGCATTGAACCCACACCTACACTGCCGTACTAAGGAAAAACGCCGTATGAACCTTGAGGTGTTGCCAAATTTCCTTGCCAAAACCCCAATTCGTCTGTAAACTTATATTTGTCTTCCAATTTTTTAGATGATTTTGTTAGCAATTTCACCTAAAGTTCCTGAAAATTTAGAGGAAAAATATTCATAACTTTCCTCAAACATAAACATTTCATCGAAAGAAATTTGGCAGCTTTCGAATGTTCATGCGACGTTTTTTTCCGTAGCACGGCAGTACACGAAGGTCCGCACTTTTACGTTGAATATTCGTAACTTATCGGTGTCAGACCTACCGCCCGCGGTTTCTGACAATGTTTGACCAGTGTTCACCATGTGTGATATACACCAGTGTACATACAAATAAAAAGAAAAAAAAGAAAGAAAAAGAAAATGTAGTGTTAAAAACAGTGATGTTTAATCTCCTGAAAATAAAGAAACCTCGTCTTCATACAGCCAGCTTCTAGCGCCAGTACAGTTTTACTCTGTGCTATTCGATTTGAGGCGAGTGCGTAAAAATCTAACTACCTGTTATAACAACTATCGGCTATTACGACCAGTGGCGTGGCGTGAATGGCGATATCTCGATTGTTCTGTCATTTAAACCTATGATAAAGAATCGATTATTAAGGTGTTCGCTGCGAACACCCTTTTAATCGATCCTTTTCCATGGGTTTACATGGCATAACAATCGATCTATCGTGAAGCACGCCACGCCGCTGATTAGGTACGACCGAAAAGGGCCGGTCACTTCAAGGTCGTTATATTCGATTTCCACTGTAGTAGTTATTTTCTGCCAAGTTGAGTCGAAAAATCAGAACCAATCTGACTGTCTGGGATTTTAAAACATTGAAATTCTTTGAAAAATCGAATTTTTGGGCACGAGGCTCCTATCTTTTCGCACGGTCACATTTTCTTACATCATGCGAAGCGCAACAATTTCAGATGAAACCTTCGTATTCCTCTGCGCGGGATCAAAAAGTCGCGAAAAGTTTCCATGTGCTCGATTAAAATTCAAACAGTAATATCAAACTTTCTAGAAAGGTCGGAGGAAACGCCTCTGATTTTTTTAAAATAATTACATACCCAAGTAACACATTGCAAATTGAAACAAAGTTGCGATTAATTGCAATAAAATCGAAATTTTTCACCATAGAATTGCAATATTTTTACATCATTCGGTTAATAAATGACCATTTTAAAAATTCAACAAAGTGAGTTCCGCCTGTCAGAAAGATAGGCAATTTGTAGTGCAATGAATAAATGCAACTTATTTCAATTTTATCCAAATCAAATTCAATGAGCCGTGCTTTTAGTCAGTAGATAAGCAACATTCACAACACTCTGATGCAGTACCTAGCAAATATTTTACTATGTATGTAATTGCAATTTATTGCGATATGTGCTACTAGGGAGGCGTTTCGTTGACTTATTGCTTTAGTTTCGAGCAAGGATTCGCCTAAAATGATTTTTCGTCCCAGACTTTTCACTGTAAGTCTTTGCGGGAATTTCATACGATCTCTGGTAAAAATTGGCGATAAAAGCTGCGTTTCAAAATACTATAGGAATTCCTGTAGCCGGCTAAAGAAGGCTACAGAAAATCATATAGCTGGCTGCAGAATGCGGAGAAAATCATACGGCCGGGCTATACGAAGTGATAAAAAATTATGCAGCCGGGCTATAGTTCCTATCGCCGGGCTTTACACTTTATCGCCTGGCTGTTGCTTTTTCGCCATCGATGATAAAAGGCTATAAGAAATTGTGTAGAAATTCGTGTGCTTTGGAAATCATTAAGTTTGATACGGAACCACCTTAATATTTACAAAACAAGCGTTATATTTTCCTTTAATACATATTTTTTTTCATCAATTAAAATGAGAATAATCCATACAGGATGTGCAAACATTTAAAAATCATGAGTTGAATAACGCTGACTCCGCCACATTAAATATTTGAGCCTAACACAAAGCGGAGCGGCGACGCACTGGCGCCTACAAACCTAACAGGGATACTTCACGCATTGCGCAACGCGTGAAGTATCCCTGTTAGGTTTGTAGGCGCCAATGCGCGTTTCGGGCTGGCTGCCCGCCTGCCGCACCGCAGCGGCAGCGTGCCACGGCACTTGAAGCAACTATTTCACACCAGAGGTATTGCACAGTATCATACGAAACTAAAAAATATAGGCGCTCCAATATAGGTACTAGGAATGGTAGGCATCCATCAAAAGTACGGAGCTTCCCTCGCAAAATAAATCAAGATACTACGGCCCAAAAAAAGTGCAGTAGTCCAAAAACTCACTAAGTCCTAGCATCCGTAATTAGTAACGTTTAGCATACACTTTATCGCCTGGCTGTTGCTTAGTCGCCATCGGCTATTAAAGGCTATAAGAAATTGTGTAGCCGGCTATAGAAGCTATTGGAAATCTTACAGCCGGCCGTAGGTCTATGGTAGTTTGGAACACAGATTCTACTGCCAATTTTTACCAGGGATGGTGAATTCGCCAAAAACTGTTTTGAATCAAGTTCGGTCTCTTGAAAAATGAAAATACGATTTCGGTCGTGAGGTTAAAAAGCAATGGGCGAATTCTTTTTTCGGTGAATCGTCATGGAGGAACTTTCTCCTACAATCATTCCGATTTTAAGGGGAGAGAATTCACTTTCAATCGGTAAAAGTTGAATGACTCAAGTTAAAAGTTGCAAGCAAACTATGTGATATCGATAGGGGATAGGCGAATACTGCTGGTAAACAAACATAAAGGATGCGAGATCAGTCGATGTGTTTTGCACTGCATGTCGTCTTAGTCTACACCGTGCGTGCAGATCATATCCCACCACGAAGATGCGGGTAATGGCGTCATTAAGTACCCCTAACACTTATTTAGTTGTTAGACAAGGCAAAATACACTGCCGTGCTGAGGAAAAACGCCGTATGAAGACTCGAGAGTTGCCAAATTTCTCTAGATAAACATGAATTTCTGACTAGAATTATAGACATTTTCCTTGCAATTTTTAGATATTTTTTATTCAATCGCGAACATAATGCCTGAGAAATTTGAAGAAAAATATTCAACATTCCTAGCAAATTCGTTTTTTGTTGAAGGAAATATGGCAGCGTCTGAAGGCTCATACGGCGTTCTTGCTTAGCACGGCAGTACAGATGTTTGGTAAATTGAATGCCTTGCGGAAGATGTATGAGTCATAATTTTCCTCCGCCCACCCACGGTCAATTTTTAAATCTTCTATTTACTTCCCTCGCGATGGGCAGGTTTAAATATCCACATCGGACGAATTCTGAGCTGTCTCATCTATCTTTCATGTAAGTGATAATTTTTAAGTTAATTTCACACTATGCAACTGGTCACTCTGAAAAGTAAATGGACAGTCACCAAGAGCCGTGGAATGCAGTGGCTTGGCGTGCTTTGCGATGTATCGATTGATCTGCCATTTAAACCTATGAAAAAGGATTGATATGATAGGGTGTTCGCAATGCACATCCAAATAATCGATTCTGTACCATAGCTTCAAATGGGGAAATATCGATACTCGATCATTCATGCCTCGTGGAATGAACATAGTGCCAAACTGACACACGGTGGAACGAGACATTGGGAGCAGGGGACAAACACTACATTTTTTACTTAAATTTAAAATTTTCGATGTTCACTCCGGATAAAAATGATTTTAAGGGGTGTCCTGAATGAATAAGACATTGGCTGGATATATGGCTGAACTCTCTTACATAGCGCTGGCGATCCTCATCATTACGGCCCTAAGTTTGAAAGCTGTTTTTGAGCTTGAAAGTTCATCTCAGAAAAAGCCAGGAACACCACAGCGTTTCTTATAAAATCTTACGCGAGAAAAAGTACTAACATTGCAAAGCCCCGCGGCACGCAAGAGTCCCATTGTTTTTTGAAAGGGGTTCCCTATGTGTAGAAAAATCAGTGATGGTTATTTTTTCTCTTGTCCAGGCGCTACGCCAAAATCCAACGTGCTAATAAGGAAGTTAAATATTTCTTGAAGATTAGAGTAATCAGTATTTTAATTTCTTATGCCTATAAACATGGAACATTGTACACAGAATTAACAATAAATTAAGGAAAATGTACTTATAATAATCATAATGATGAGAAAAAAAAAAAAAATTAGGTCAATATTTTCTTTGCATCGTCTCAGTAATAATTTGTGTCCGAGTCGTCAGCGTATTTTTGTGACTTCCTAGCATGTGCCTTAGCCAAGTAAACAGAGAGAACCAACGCGAGAAGCTGAAACAAAAGCCAAAAGCAAAATTTAGTTTTAGAAAAGGTGAATTAAAAATGCATAAGTATTCCTGTAGCACACTCTTGACAGTTCCAATCTGACGATTTGTAAATTTCATCCATGCAAATTCATGAATGGCCTAAAACTTATCCATGCCTCACTTAATTAGGGATTTTAGGAGGTCTAAAATTTTTTGGCTCCAAAAAGTTCATTTTTTGGGACTGAAGCTTTCTTGATCGGGGTCCATAGTTATCTGCAAACTTTTTTAATACATACTCCGCTGATGAAGAAATGAAAAAATTTACAATTATTTCTTACAGCACACTTTCCCTTATACAAATCTCACTTATAATTATTATCTTTTCTTTGAGGCTTGCCTTTGAAATCATCCTGTAACTTAAGATCTTTATATTCTTGAGACTATAGATATCTTTTGTAGCGTCAAAATATGTGAAAAAGTAGCGACATTTTATGTATTTTGGCCCACAATAATTGTCACCAAAATTTAGAGGAAACGATGGTTTCCTCCAAAATTGAGAGGAGCTTGTCTACGACTGGATTATGGAATTTTGCAGAAAACATAATCAGAGCCGGATTAAGGGGATGGCCACATGGGCCGCGGCCCATGGCGGCAAATCTAGGGGGCGGTAAATTTTGCAATTTTTTTAAACGTAGGTATACAAAAAATCGAATTTAGAAAATAAATTACAACCGAGAAAAGGCAACAAAATCTCTCATTTCCTGAGAGTATAGTAATTTCTAATTTTGTCGTCTTTCAGTGATACAAGAGCCAGTAGCTTTAATTAGTCGAGTTAAGAGAGAAACCAAACACGCAATTTGGCCTGGAACGGCGCGACTTACAGAGAAATGATGACGAAGACTTGAGATGGAAGGGAGAAGCCCTCGGTGGGGCGGTCGGCATGTAACACATATTAGCGCCTACAAGACTGCACGAATACTTCACGCATTGCATCAAACACAGTGCGTTCACTACAGTCAGCGTGAAACGGATAGCGCCTACAAGAATGCATGAATACTTCACGCATTGCGCCAAAGACAGTGCGGTCAGCGTGAAACGCTTAGCGCCTACAAGACTGTCGGAATACTTCACGCCTTGCGCCAAACACAGTGCAGTCGGCGCGGCGCGGCGGCGGAAATTAAAATCATTAAACTACATTTATGTTTGTTCTTTCATAATTTTTTCGTTCATTTCTTATGAATGGAAGGCCCTGTCCACACAGAGATAGGTTTACGGAACTTATCTTTTGCGCAAAGTTCCGTGAACTTTTGCTAATAGTGTTGACTGGGCTTTTCCAAAAAATGTGTTCAACACGAGTAAACGCGTCTTCTGCATCCTTCCCCCGCTGGCACGTTCACTTGATGGTTTTTATTGATGTTTCAAAACGAATGAGAAGGGGGCGGTAAAATACAGGCGGCGCATGGGCGGCAAGTAGGTAAATCCTGCCCTGAACATAATTTAGAAAAAAATCTCATTCTGAACCATTGAACACGAATCATTATTTCATTTACGACTATTAGTGGTGTTCCATAAGAACTACTAGTTGGTTTATAAAACCATAGATTTTTTTTCTGTGACTCCTGCAGTTTGGCGTTTTAATTATGGGACACCCTGTATAGTTTGGATTATACCTCAATCGGCAGCACTCACCTCTATAAGAATCACAACTCCAATACCGATCTGAACGTTGGGATACTCTCTCATCCACTTTCTCTGTAGTTTCTGCCAGCATCCGTCCCTGTAGGCCTCACTCTCCGTGCAAATCTTGTAATCCCTTGCTCGCATGTTTGAGCAACATGACATGGGCAGTTGGCTTTGCTGTTGGTCCGCTTTGAGATCCTTCCAATAGTCAATCCCTTCAAATCCGCAGCATCTCAACTGTAATCGACAAACAAGGTCTGCGGGTTGATAATTGAAACTTTAAGAATCCACTAAATTATTCTTAATTGATAAAACCTAATCATGCGATGTTATTTGTCGTTCGATAATCTTTTTTTATTCAAGCAAAATCGACTTACAGCAGACGGATTCTGTGACTTCGACATTAAAAATGGAGCAATATCATTGTGGGATTAACTCATTTTTTTGAGCGTATTAAACAACTCAAATCAGTAATCTTGTCAATGAGCACTATCGTTTACAGCTGTACGCTGATTTAGACATTTAATGACCGAAACAGTTTATGACCCATCAACGGTACAAGTTACAGAATCAAACGGTGGAGCTTGATGCTGGATTATTAAAAATGTATTGCCTCCTTTTAAAGACCGTGTCCGAGCGAATAACGGGTATGTCCATCAATTATTATTTTATTTTTTGATTACTCTGAAACCAATCATAATTAAGATGCAATTAAAACTGTGATATTTTTTTCAATTTCTACTGTTAGTAGTACCGCGTTATAGATTCAATTACACCAGTGCAATTATCCAAACGATCGCAAGTATTGACTATATATAGTCGCTGAAAAGAAAGTTACATACTGTCGGTGAAACTCCCAAACCACGTATCCCCGTTCGCGACGTTGCGACTTCCTGTCATATTCTGTGTTTTAAAGGGATAACTTAAATTATGACGTCATCAGGTGGTATATCGCTTTCAGGCGGTGCATTTATTAAACACATATATTTTTGCAGATTCGGTACCTAATTTGGTCGTATCTCCCCAAAAATGTTTCATTCGAGAAACACCTGTAAATTCTCCATTGCGCACCTTAATCGGATCAGGATGAAACTCACGATCGGTAAACGAAATCCATGGCAAAAATGCGAAACCATGTAACTCCTTTGCGATGTTTCAAAAGTTTCGCTCTTATTTTATTCTTTCAAAGAAAAATAAGTCAACTCCATATCTTGAAATTTTTCACAATATACTGCTAATGAAGAAGGAAACCCTGAGAACTTTTAAAAAAATCATGTTGAATACTCTCCTGAAGAAAAAACCACTTTTAACGGAAAGTCTGCAACGTCTCAAACGGAGATACGTGGTTTCACACTTTAGCCATCGATATGCACCCCTGAATCCTTATCGAGACACCACTCCTGTTGTCCGCAGGAGTCCGTTTTGCCTAATGTTTCAAATGAAGGCGATCGCACAAATAGAAGTCTATTACCACCTACGCTCAGTGACTCAAGTCAAAACGAGAGATCGAACAAAATTTGGAAACTTTTAAAAGCTTAAAACTCCGTTTATACAAAACTTTGAGGTTTTAAAAATGGTTCCATTATAGTTTCATGGTAAAATTATCTTCCAGGAGCATCCATTAAAATTTAAAATGTGACGAGATAAATATCAACATTTGCAATTTTTGTAGAAAATTTCTAGTCCAACTTCTTCCAAAGACTTGTTCCGCTGTGCTACAGTTGTAAGTGCGGAATTTCTTCGATACTTTATCCGTGATCCAACTTATTATAACTAACTGTAAGTACCTGAGATTGAAGGAAGTCAACCATGTGAATAGCTTCGTTTTTGGTGGTGGGCTCGACGTAGTAGGTATCGAAGAGTCTCCTGACTTCCTGCTTGGTGGCCAGCTCGATGTCAGCTCGGTTCCAGTAGCTGTAGCCGAACCCGGCGATCTCGCTCACCAGCAGCAGGAACATGGATATCCCATACTGGAACATAGATACAAATTTTTACGAAGCAGCCCGAGACAATGATAATATGAGAAAAAGAAGAGGGAAAACGGGAAACAAGGCTAAAGAACAACAACATGAAGCTCAAAACATTTTGACTCAAAACTGAGTCATTTTCAATCGGAAAATAAATTAAAAAATAAAACAATATCTATAAAAAAACCTCAGACCTACATGTTGGTGGCCGAGATCCAAGAAAATGAAAACCACTAGAACACAGCAACAATGCCATGCCAAGGAAGAACGCCGTAAAAAAATCGGATTTTGCCGCATTTCTCTACATGAAACTTCCATTTTTGAGGAAATTTATGGATATTTTTCCTTGAAATTTTCCGAGACTCCAGATTAAAAGGCCAATATAATTCTCAGGAAAATTGAGAGAAAAACGATCAACAGCTTCCCTGAAAATTCGTATCTCATGAAAGGAAATTTGGTAACGTCTAAAGGCTTATACAGCGTTTCCCCTTGGCACGGTAGAAACATCCCCTTGTAAAACATTCATTTTTGAGGAAATTCATGAATATTTTTCCTTGAAATTTTCGGAGACTGCACATTAAACTACCCATGAAATTTCGAAAAAAAATCGAGAAGATGGAACACAAGTTTCCCTGAAAATTTGTATCTTATTAAAGGAAATTTCGTAACGTCTGAAGACTCGTAAGGCGTTACGGAAGAAACATCACCTCATAAAACATTCATTTTTAATGAAATTTATGAATATTTTTCCTTGAAATTTTCCGAGATTGCAGAATAAAGTGCAAATGAAATTCTCAGGAGAATTGAGAGAAAAACGACCCCTAAAAAATTGCGTCTTTTCAAAGGAACTTTGGTATCGTCCGAGGGCTCATACAGTGATTTTCCTGAGCCTGGTAAAACACAATCCTCGGGCTGCGCATGCTTACCTCTCATTGCATCGCTCGTCGGTACAGCGTCGCACCGCCACGCGCTGCGTCAATAATACCTAATTTATGACCTTCGGAGGTCTTACTTCTCGCTCGCTAACACTGCTAATAGCCAATCTCCAGCTCGCTGCTTTGCATCAGCTACCGCGAGACTTCCACCGCGGTGGGCCCCCCAAGGGGCACGGGCACTCCGGACAGCTCCACGATTGTCCTCCGTGGATTTATTTATTTCCTCGCATCCAACCAAGTTCTTATCGGAATAATATGCAATCGGCTGTCTCCAAATTTTCGAAGGGAGGGGTGGGCCGCGCGAAAATGAGGCTCGAGGGCCGGGCCTCTCCTGACGAGAAGAGGATAAGGCTCAAAAAATACCCCACAGGTTTTGCGAGATTTTAAAATAAGCCAAATATACGCGGTCAGAACAGGACCGCGTCAAGCAGAAAGGAACCAAGCCACATCAGCGGGCTGATTATTGAAATTGATAGACAAAGCGATAGACAAAGAAGACACAAAAGATATGGAGGGATCCTATTGATGGAAGCGGGTGGTTGCAATGGACAAAGGATAGACTAACTAACGGCAACCCACGAGAGACCGGATGGTTAGTCCATCATTTACCCCCTTAGTCTATAAGAAACACCCATTTCAACCAATAGGATCGCTCTGAACTCCTTATGTCTTCTTTGTCTATAGCTTTGTCTATAAAATTCAATAGTCAGCCCGCTGCTATGACCAATTTTAACCGGGCAATTTAATGTTTCACATGGAAACGGTTGTGCGAATTTTTGTGCAAATTTCAGTGAATTGTCTGCGTAGTACACACGGAGCAAATTCCTTAAAATTTTCAAAAGAATTCGCGAAAACGTTCTCTTGTTAAAAAATAAATTGCCCAGTTAAATTTGGCAATAGCTGATGTGACTTGGTTTCTTTCTGCTGAACGTGGTCCAATTATTATTCCACGGTAAGCCCCTGTAAAGCTCGTTTGGCCGAAGTGTAAGGGACACTCGCCCTTTGCCCCCAGAGGGCTGATTATTGAAATTGATAGACAAAGAAGACGGCGGAAAAATGGAGCAATCCTATTGGATGAGATGAATGGTTGTAAAAGACTGAGGGAGAAAATGATGGAATAACCACAGGGTGTCTCGTGGATGGCCATTCGTATGTCTATTATATTAAGTACCTCCATTGCCCATCGCTCCATTTTCCCTTTGTTTTCTTTGTCTACTGTCTTGTCTATCAATATGAATGATCAGCCCGCTAGACAGTACACCGGCAAGTGCGCAGGTCAGTAAATAAAAGACAAAATTATCATCATATGGTGATTGTAAGGTCCGTGGCTTTTTCTGGAAACAATCTCCTAACGGTATACGCAAAAAAATCACTGAAATCTGCACCAAAATTTGCACGACCGTTTTCGTGCAAAAATTAAATTACCCAATTAAATTTGGCAATAGCTGATGTAGCTTGGTTCCTTTCTGCTTAACGCGGACCATATACTGTCAAACTTCCCCCGGCTTGTGGTTTCCCCGATCGACACGTCGAAAATGTGTTATAGATACTTCTGTATAATCGAAAACACAGAAGAATGCGGAAAAAAGGCTAAAATACAAAATACAAAGGCAGGACGTTTCGGTACCTTACGGCACCATGATCAACTACTAAAATCAAAAATAAAAAAGAAATTAAAATAAAAATGAAAACCAGCAAACGGCGTTACATGGTGAAATTGGAATTGAAAAACCAATTTTCAATTTCAAATATTTTTCAATTTCAATTTCACCATGTAACGCCGTTTGCTAGTTTAATTTTTATTTTAATTTCTTTTTTATTTTTAATTTTAGCAGTTGATAATGGTGCCGCAAGGTACCGAAACGTCCTGCCTTTGTATTTTGTATTTTAGCCTTGTTCCCGCATTTTCTTGTGTTTTCGATAGTCGTTTCCGTTTCGGGCTGCTTTTACATTATCTTTGTTTTCTACTTCTGTATACTATAAATTACAGAAGTATACTATAAGTAAGTACAGGTATACTATGAGCTGTAAATCATTACCAGTATTATGAGACATCTGTTTTCTTTCAAGGAGCCGAAGCATCCGCAGAATGAGACTAAAATGACGCCGACACAAAACGACGCCAACACGATCTGACCGATGCTCACTTCACCGCTTATCCAAGTGTTATAGTATTCGACCGGTCCTTTGAGCCATACTGATATGAGAAGGACTGTGATTCCTATTAACTGAAATCAGAAAAGGACAAACCATTAGAATTATACGTGGAGAAATTTGCACTTTCCATCAAAGGAAACTTAGTATCGGACCTGATGTCTCATCTGAAACGGACTCTTTTAGTCGGTGCGCGGTGCTTGTGTCTTGAGGACATTGCTCTCTGCGACCAACTCTTTCCTAGCTCTAAACAAAGATTACCTATCTTTCTCGCTCTCACTTGACCATACGAGTTGTTGTATCACTCCAATAAGTGTTCGAAACTCACATCTGAGTTTTAGGAGCCATGTGGCGTATCAAGCCCGATTTTTAGGCGCCATTGAAGATTTTTTAGGGGCCAAATTGACTTTTTGCCTATATATTACAGCGCATTTGGTGAAAAGTTAGACGCAAGATGTTTTCGTAACAGAACTAGTATGTAGCTGTAACTTGGGGAAGGCAAAAGCAACAAGAATGACATCGTGAAGAATCGAAAAAGCAAGCTTTCACTTGTAGTGCTGAAAATTCTGAGTTTTTTCAATTCAAACAGATTTGTTTTTCTTTCTTTATGTGACTTCCTGTGAAAATCCAGATTTTCAGGGGACAATTTTTAGGGGCCATGTTGGCGCAGAGCCTTCATTTTTTAGGCGCCGTGGCCGATTTTTTAGGCGCATATGGCGCGTTGGCGCCTGTGAGTTTCGAGCACTGACTCCAATTCAAAAAGTGGTAAAATACGCATTTTTTCATAGCTCTTTTTCTTCAGCAGGTGTGCATTATTCATCTTGCGTTTTACTTGGTTTTCAATAACAATATCCTAGAAATCATATCGACAGCGTAAGTCCGCAATCACATTTGTCGTTTGCGGTGTCTGAAAATCTCCGCCTCTATGTTCTTTTTTTAAAGGAGAAAAAATTGACATCATTCCTTGAAGTTTTTGCAGAATTTACTTCGCACAGAGAAGAAAAAGCACGGTAGTTTTAAATTATTGTTGTTGAGTAGTTTTCCGTTTAAAAAATAAAGTATGACAAGAAGTCCGCGACATCGCAAACCGAGTTATGTGATTGCCGACTTACACCGTCGATGTATCGATGACCAAAGTGCGAAATCATGTAACTCTATTTGTGACTTTACAGACTTCCTGTCCTGTCTTACTTTATTTTTTCCATAGTAAACTATTGAGCGTAATTTCTTGAAAAAGTATTAATTTTTCTTTTCTGTCACCAGGATATTCATTATAAATACAAACTTCAAAGTTGGCTTTTTTTTCTTCGAAATAATAAAAAATATGGGCGAAAATTTTGAAACACCTAAATGGAGATACGTGACTTTCCACCTTAGCCATCGGCGTGTGACCGAATCTGTGAAAAGGACCCTCGTCTTCCGCAAGAACATTTCCCTGAAATGTTTTCAAAAACTTAAATTACGTGTTCTACGACCTTCTCATCTCCTTCAAATTTTGAGCTGTCACTGTCAAATTCAAACTTTCACCAAAATTTCTTGATTTTCCTCCTCCATGCATTTCAAAAAGGTTAGGCAATTTTTTCCCCGCGAAAGACAAGGTCTCTTTTCATCGATCCGGTCACATATTAATGGATGATGTTGGATTTAAAAAAGAAATAAAGGTCAAACACAAGGGTCAAGTGAGCGAGCAATTTGTACAACCGTCGGGAAGGAGAGTAACGCGACTTCTACGTCACTGTGATAGCCATAGGTAGAGGTAATCAGCAGCATCCGTTGAGATTCGTGACACAAGAATGATAGAGTACTGAGTACATTCAACTTCCAAATTGAGGAGTCTTCTTGTTATCCCTTCTTTTTTTAGGAATCCGAGAGTTTTATGAACAAAAGCCTGGCCAAAAAGAATCTTTCTGATATGAAAAGCCTCCATGAAAAATCCATGATAACAGACTACGGCATAAATTTCGGACATATCAAGGAAGTTTTCAAGAAATTCAGCTGACCTGTTCTGCCGTGCTAAGGAATAACGACGTATGAACATTCGAGATTTGCCAAATTTTCTCCGATAAATTGTTCATTTTTGAGGAAAATTGCCTCCCTTTTTCTTGAAATTCTCAGACTTTTTTGATCAAATTACAAGAAAAATTACTTGAAAAATCGGAAGAAAAATATTCACAAATTTTCTTGAAAATCAGTGATTTGTCAAAGGAAATTTGGCAACGCCTGAGGGCTCATACGACGTTTTTCCTTAGCTCGGCAAAGTTCCCCAAATATGCATAAACTATAGCAGGAAGTCTGCAACATCGCAAATGAAGATACGTGGTTTCGCTTCTTCGTCATCGATCAGGGCCGGATTAAAGGGTGGCCACATGGGCCGCGGCCCATGGCGGCAAAATTAGGGGGCAGCAAATTTTGCAATTTTTTTAAATGAAGGTACAGAAAAATCGGATTCAGAATAAAATTACAAACAAGAAAAGGTGGCAAAATCTCTCATTTCCTGAGAGTTCATTGATTTCTAATTTTGTCGTATTTCGGTGATACAAAAGACTGCGCACCTTTAATTAGTTGAGTTAAGAGAGAAACCAAACACGTAATTTGGCCTGGAGCGGCGCGGCGCAGAGAAAAATGATGACGAGGACTTGAGATGAAAAGGAGAAGCCCTCGACGCGGCGGTCGGCATGTAACACATATTAGCGCCTACGAGACTGCATGAATACTTCACGCATTGCGTCGAACACAGTACGGTCAACAGCTGTCGGCGCGGCGCGGCGTGAAACGTACAGTGCCTACAAGACTACATGAATACTTCACGCATTGCGCCAAGTACAGTGTGATCAGCGCGGCACGGCGGCGGAAGTTAACATTATTAAACCACAATTATGTTTGTTCTTTCTTAATTTTTTAGTTCATTTCTTACAAATGAATGGCTTTATCCACACAGAGATAGGTTTACGGAACTGAACTTAGCGAAGTTCCGTGAACTTTTGCCAGTAGTGTTGACATGGCTTACGCAAAAAATGTGTCCAACACGAGTGAACGCGTCTTATGCACCCTTCTTCCTCCGGCACATTCACTTGATGGTTTTTATGGATGCTTCAAAATGAACGAGAAGAGGGCGGCAAAATACAGGTGGCCCATGGGCGGCAAGTAGGTAAATCCGGCCATGTCATCGATATTATCTAACACAAGCTGTCGTGTTACACTGGAAAAGAAACATCTGGATCTTGAGTCCAGACTCTTTAAAAACATCGACAAGAAAAAATACTCTTGATCCAATCAGATTTAAGCTTAAATCAAGAACCAAACCTCTTAATTTGAGCGGATTTCCTTTTGATTTAAGCTTAAATCTGATTGAATCAAGAGTCCTTTTTCTTGTAAATGTTTTCAAGAGTCTGGACTCTAGATTCAATGTGTTTTTTTTTTCCAGTGTACGGAAGAGACCCGTATCTGCTTTTTTGTTTGAGCCACGGCTATTACGTGTTCCTACGTATCACGAGGCTCATTCATAATTTACTTACGGTAGACAAGCTGTCAACCTGGCTTGTTTGCCAGTATGATCAGCACGGGCCGTCGAGCACTCAAAGGCTGGTTGCATCGCCACCTCCGTCATTTACAGCGGCCTTGATGTCGAATCCGCCAATAAAACTTAAATGGAGCTGTTAGGGATTGGCCGTTTTGAAACGTGTAAAGCTGTCATTGCGTCGCGTCGGTGCATCACGTTACGTGTGTACAGCCCCCCCCCCCCCCCCCCCCCCCCNAGTCAATATGCGTAATCTAAAACTACGGTAAGTAGGTATGAGGCTTGCAGCCATCTCAGGACGGGTAGGGTTACTGTTCTGTGATGTATACATGACGTTTAGAAAGCGTGAAAATCGACCGCTGGGCGAGGTGAGACTTTTAGCATTGTGTTCCGTCATCTTTAAAGTCAAGCACGTTGGAAATATTGAGGGCTACGCTTGAGAAATGCGTTTTTGATCGCGATATTGCGAAATTCCGTTTGGGTTTAATTTATTTTAAAAGTACACCGACGGTTTTCATTAAAATTTTCTGCGAATTTTCTCTATTCATTCAAATAGGAATATTCACAAAAACTTTGAGAGAAATATTTTAGTTGGTTTCACCGTCACAAAAAAAAAAAAAAAAAAAAAAAAAAAAAAAAAAAAAAAATGAAACATGGTCAAAATTTTGAGCCATGATGATACGTGCCTCTCAACTGGAGCTTTTAATATTAGAAATTTCCAAATTTAACTCAGGAGTTGGAGCCAGAGTTTACTGTCCCACATAAGATTCAGAGATTTTAAACTTTCCCCTCGCGAAAAAGCCAAGCCCCGAGGAAGACACTCGTCCCTCATCTGATCTAAGGGCGTATCGCTAGTTCCACATGAACTTCAGGAATCATAGAAATACATGGAGAATAGGACTCACGTGGGAATCGAGATACGCCCTTACGTCAAAAGAGCGACGTAACATCACATGAGCCCTGCCATGGTACTCTCATGGGGACTTGAGGGTCTATGTAAACATGGAGAGTCTCTTTTGATTTAACTTTGCTTGTGAGTATAGTGTGTGCCGAAAAAGTAACCGAAAATAAAAACGCACTGGCAGGATGAAAACGAATTTTGAATTTTTACGGTCAATGAAAGATGTCTTCTCATGTGAACTTTTTTACTAATTTTTGGAAGTTAGGAAGAAACTCTGTCACCTCGAAATACATAGAGAAATATGCTATCTCATTAACGCCTAGTCTTGATGACTAGCTCGGTTTAAGAATTCAGAATTTAGAGTTTTTGTTTGATTATATGAGTATTTTAAAATGAGTCACTTGAATTTTATCATAAGTCAACTTCCTTTTCCTCTCATGTTGCTCGGTGAAACGGGCCGGCCAAAAAAGACGGGATTATTGGCTTTTTTGTGATGGAGATATGTTGTATTGTCCTCCCAGGAAAAACATATGCCTGTAAATCTGGTGACGCGCGGTCCTCTTTACCACTGTTGCCTCCTCTAGATATTTGAGAAAAGGAAAGAAACGAAAAAGTTTAGAATCGCGCCTGAAAATTTTCCAAAATTTTGATCATCC